AGGACTTGGAGCAATGGCTTTATGTTGGAAAAATTCAGATTCAGGAAGGATATAGGAAAGCACTGGTTTGGTAATAGAGTTGTGGATAAGCGGAACAAACTCCCGAGTACCATCATAGAAGCTAAGACATTGTGTGATTTTAAACATAGGTTAGGTAAATACACGAGTGGGTGGGTGTGAGTTGGATGTGACGAGCTTGTGCTATTAGGTCGTATGCTATGCTCCTTCCTTAAGAGAATGTGACCTGACCTGACTAAGTTAGGGCACTGACTTAAGCCAGTAGGAGAATTGGACCTGCCTCGCTTGGGCCAGTAGGCCTGCTGCAATGTTCCTTCTTATGTTCTTATCTCTTGTTTTAGTTATTGGCCTTCTTTTGACATTAATAATTTACTGGAGTTTTTAATTGATGCTGGATATTTTAACTTGGTATGTTAGTTTTTTTATGTTGAGTATTTTATTCATGTTCTTAGCTTTTATTGTTTGTTAATTTTATCTTGTTTTTATTATGTGTGTGTTGTACTGTATATCATTACTTTCTAATTGATACGAGAGCTGAGTAACCCACTTGGTCAAAGTACTCTGTAGATATCTACTACAGGTCCACATCCCTTTATCCAAAATCCTTGGGGCCAGTAGTGTTTTGAATTTCAGAATTTTTCAAATTTCAAAATGAAGATGGGGTCTAGGGCAGCACTCCATAATCAGACATTAACACTGCAGCAAAAACATATGAATACTCACACTAAGTGGGATAAATAAAGCCTACAAATACACCTACCATCCGACTTACAACCGAGTTCGGTTCCGAGAAATCGGTCGTAAGTCAAAATGGTCGTAAGTCGAACTTTACTACTGAATATCAACGAAACATTTTTGTAATAACTTTATTTTATTTTTTTATTTTGGTATTTCATGTTTTACTTTACTTTTTATGTTGTTAGTGTTGTATTTTATACTGTAAGGTTTAGGATAAACACTGTGTACAACACAAATAGTTGTTTATTTCCCAGAAATTTGGCATAAAAAACACGGTCGTAAGTCGAGTGGTCGTAAGTCGAGCAGGTCGTAAGTCGGATGGTAGGTGTACTATTACAGTTTATTTATAGAGTAATACGTATATTGATAAATGAAATAGAGATAATTATTGACCAGGAACATGATTCTCAAGATGATTCTCAAGACGATTGACAGATGGCGTTTTTAGAGATTTCTTCAAGTGTCATTTGTCTTATTAACATAGGTTTCTGTCTAAGCAATCTCATTTCAACTGTGTAAATTGCCATAATCTCTTGCTCACTGATAAATGCACATTGTTCAAGGCTAGCAGTTAACTGATCACACATTTTCACCATACCTATGGGGACTTTTTACCTGTGTTCACAATGTCATCATTACTATTCTCAAGCTTATTTGTATTTAACACCATTTCAGCAATTTCACCATCACTCAAGGAATGCACAACAGGTGCATCATTGTCAATGTTTCAGTATTTCAGTATGTCAGCTTCCTGTAACTTATTTACACTTTCGTCTGATAAACTTTTAGTGTAAGTTACGAAGTTTGATATCGTCTTCTCATCAGTGACATGAAATCCTTCAAAGTCTTCATCTGTAGGTTCATTTACATCAAACATCATTTTAGGCCAAAGTCTTTGCCAGGCATTTCTTAATGTTGATTTATCTACATCCTTCCAAGCATTAACAACTGTACTGTTATCCTTAAGTGTATCTGCAGCTCTCTTTGACATTTTCACAGTGAAATTAAACAGTCACAAAATAAAAAGAAAAAACAAAATATCAGCGAACTGCAGACACGTGTGAACACTACAGACACTGAGACACAACTGATGCCTGCCACTATGGCTGTCAGTGCTGGGTCACGCCGCCACGTGGGGGCGTTCGAGTTATGTAGAGATGACTGATGGTCCACACTCCACGAGAAAACTTCTGTTTTCAGAACATTTCGAATTTCAGAATTTCGGATAAAGGGATGTGGACCTGTAGTGCTATGTCCACAAGACCATGTGAGTTTGTGTTTACAACAAGGAGCCAGTCTAGGCCTTTCCCTAAAACAATGGCTGCTCTCTGGGCACGGAGGAGAAATTTCTCTGCGGGAGTCGGCATGATTTCAAATTTTCTCCCAAGTTTGCTGTGGAAATGTTCAGTCTTAAAGCAAATAGCAATGTAATGAAAACGTGATATGTAGATGCATGATATTAGGGAATTTACTGTGTTCAGCACCGTCTGCCATCTTCTCACTTTTCTAGGGAGTGATGGCGATGTGCAGATTCAGGAGCAATCCTTCCAGTATTTTCCAGGTATAAATTATGATATCTTTCTTGCCTTTGTTCAGATGAGTGAAACTTGAGGAATTTTAGCATTCCCAATAATTTAGGTGCTTAGCTGAATTTGTAGGTGTAATGAAAGTTCTCCAAACATTCACCAGATTTGCAGTTTCACCTGCCTTTAAAGGAGGTTGGTAGTTTACATTAGTATTGCATACTAGGGCAAACAAGTGACTTGGTGTATCCTCTTTCACCTGGCATCTCTTGTTTTGAAGGTTCTAGTTATCCACCTTATTATTTTATTTGTAGTTGTGATAACACTGTTATCTTGTAAGACTTTCTTACATTGTCACTCCTATGTCCCCTCATATTTATCTTCACTGTATTCAGTGGTTTGAGTTTGTTGTACTCTGTTCCAGTTTTTATATCCTCAGTTTGTCATCATTGAATATCATGTTTGCTGTAACCCACTGAAAGATCTGGTTTGTATCATCATTGAAATTTACTGTGTCCTTGATGGATGACTCTCTCATATAAATTCTATTACTATCTGCAAAGGAGAATAAAGTAGTATACAGTGCAGCAGGTGGAACAATTTGAATAACCTGCATTTAGGAGAGTAAACTTATGATGGCCATCTTGAACCATTGTCCAGTTGTGACTTAACAGATATTTGTGCTGGACCAAAACATCCTCAGATTTCTTTTCCTAAGTGCAGATTATTCGTTTATTGTCTGCAAAGGTTGATACAGTACTTTGATTTGTCTCTGCTAGATATGAGAGTGAGAAAATGAATTGGGGCAAGTACTGTGTATTGAGGAACAGTGCTTTTCACTGTGGTAGCCTGTGATTATTGAACACTTTGAATAAACAAACATGGATGGGAGGTTCAAATCATGGCCTTGGTGGCAGGTCTAGCACTTTACCACTGAGCTACGAGGGTTCTTATACGAAATATTTGGAAACAGAGCTTACAGTACTTTGTTAACTATTAGTTTTTTGATGATTTGTGTGTGGGCATTGTTTGTAGTATGTTGTGTGTGTGTGATGGTGGTGACAGTGTGGGCATATGTTTGTTGTGTATATAGGTGATGTTGGTGTTCCTAGACATTTTATGTGGCCTTGTCTGAGATTGGACAGTGGGGGACAATGATCCCAGAAATGTTCAACAGTTAAATAGGGTGGGTGGGTGGGGGTGTGTGTGTGTGTGGTGGATGGTGGGTGGTAGTAGTTAGAGTATGTAATGTGTATCCAGTAATTTTTAATGCTAATAAATTAATTCATTTTTTTTTTTTTGAAAAAGAAAAAAAAAAACTGTGTTCTTCTGTTTAATGATTCACTTCTGATATTGATTTTTAATTTTTGATAAATATTGAAAGATTCTTAATACAGGTTGGCCATCACTAATCTGGCAATCAATAATCTGATTCCATCAGTAATTTGGCACTAATTTCAGCTAGCATAATTTCAAATTTTCAGGATCGCCACTCCAACCTGCTGCTACTGTCTGGTGGCACTACTTGCTGCATAAGTCATTCCAATTTCTTTTTCTCTATTTATTGTTATAACCTGCTCACTTTTAGCCCTAGTCATGGTTTCAACAAATAAAATAAATTCTTCTCGTTGTGTAAAGCACATAAACCGTACATTGTCTATAAAAGATAAGGTGGCTTTGAAGCCACTGTCGGACACCATGAACTCAGCTCACTCACATGAGCTGTGACCGGTAAATTTGGGCCTACATACGAGAGAATAGGTCTGTGTGGTAAGTGTGCACGATATAAAAAAAAAATCCTGCAGCACGCAGTGCATAATGAGACAGTGACTTTGCGGTGTATTTTTGTATGTTTTTTATGGTTGTATTCTCTATTTTTTTTTTTTTATTTTTTTTATTGATAGAATGGAAGATATATTACAGAAATAGATATGATTTTCATTGGTTTCCTGATGGAAAGTACCTTGAAACTGAGCTCAAAATAATGGAATTGTTCGATTTTTGCTGATGTTTAAGAGTAAACAAATGACGCCACCGTCCAATACATGTCCAACTGGCCGGTTTAATACACGGTCACAAATGGGTTGACATTTTTTATACAATTATTACAACAATGCAGTAGTCTACATAACAGTAAATCTAATATTTTATGTGAATAAAAATTCAAAATGGAAAGCAAGCGTAATATGAGAAGGGCCTGAACAGAGGAAATGTTATTTTAGTGCCAGGAATGTCTGCACTGTTTATTCTGGACCCTATTTTGAAATTTGTGTGAAATTGGCCAAATTTCCAATTTTGACCACTTTATTGGGTAGTTGAAATAGGTAAATGGGTGCTTTCTTGTTCACAGTTGACAGAATAAAAGGAATACTAGAGAAATAGCTATGAATTTCATAGATTGGAACAATGGAATGGGCAAAAAATAGGGCATAAAGTGGGTGAAATCACCAATGCATAAATATTGCCATTGGGTTAAGTGTCTTCTAACCTAACCCCTCTGTAATCCAGCAAAATCACTAATCTGGCACCCTACAGGTCTTGATGATGCCGGATTAGTGATGGTCAACCTATATTATTTTCAGGTTCCTTACTCATTAGGAAAGATCCACCAAACATTTTGTATATGCATGTTTCTGCTAACAAGTATCTACATTATTTCCTGGCGTTAAATTAGTCTAATACATCATCTATTTAAAAAAATCATTTTTGTTACACCAACAGAACGAGGCTGATAATGGTGATGCCGCAGCTAATGGACAACCAGGCACTCCAGCACCCACAAAGGAACAACCTAAGCGTCTCCATGTATCAAATATTCCCTTCAGATTTAGAGACCCAGATCTCAGAAATATGTTTGGTGTAAGTTGGACACTACTTCCATTCTTATTTTTTTGAGAGTGCTTGCTTATTTAATGTAAAAATTTTATTACAATTATAATGGTTAATTTGACTAAACTTTTACAAGATTTTTTGTGCACTTTTTGGGGGTAGCAATGATATTCAAAGAAAAGAATTCTGTAGTTAGTTTAAGTTAATTTATTTTGGAAAAGTTTTAACCTTGATAAAATAAAATATATTGTATTGCCATTGACAACTGACATCATTTTAGGTTGTTCATTTCTTTTAAACTGATATAATGTTACATCTTCAGAAATTCGGCACAATACTTGACGTGGAAATCATCTTCAATGAGCGAGGATCAAAGGTAAGTTGCATTATCTATTTCTGTATGTGTAAACACAAATTTGATTAAATATTCATACTCAGTCAGTGCAATATGGGCAAAGATGGTTTTAGAATATGACTAGGTACAAGTGAGCACAGAGTGTTTAACTTTAATTACTCAGTAGCAGTGAGACTTGTGAGATACAGTGGAACCCAGAGTTTCGACTGTAATCCATTCCAGGAACTAGGCCTAAAGTCGAAGCAATATTTCCCATAAGAAATAATGTAAATCCAATTAATCTGTTCCACCCAAAAATATTCACAAAAATTCATTTTTTTTAAAGAATAAATACTATAGTTTTACATACAGAAAATAATGAGAAACAAATATAAAGCACTAATTTTAATGGATAAATGAACATTTAAATCAGTTTTAACTTCATTGAAGACTCTTATTGGCATATGAGAGAGGCAGGAGAGTTTGGAGGCAGGACAAGATAGTCCTTCAGTATGAAACTAATATCAACTCTACGGCTTATTTATCTATCACAATTCATCTAATATGACATAATAAACAATATTAATAACATAGAAACGTGACACATTACTCTAGAATGAATAAAATACGTCGTTACGTATGTCACAACTGGTGTTGTGTTGCCACTGAAAGCTTAAGCATAAGTGGCAGCAGAGGCACCAGTGTTTTCAGTCACCCTATATACCTCAAACAACAGTGGAGGAGTTAAGTTTCGTGTCGTCATTTTTCTATCGCTTAATCGCTTGACTTACTTGCTACACTGTTAATGCTACACTTTATCGCTGGCTGGCTCTATAGCCTTTATCGACTCGTGCTGCTTTAGTATTGTACATATCATAGAATCACTGAAGAAGGCACATTCTCCTCTCTCTCTTCCTCCTCCACTTTGGTACTTTGCTACAATTTCTTTCTTCAATCCTATCGTGTTTCACACTTTCTTTACCAAAGGGTTGCCATTATGAAGTTTCTTTGGGCCCATGGTGGCTTATTTCACAGTCACAATCAATAAACAAGCACTAAACACAATGAATTTATTGTGAAATGTTTGGATGAGCCTGCAGGGTAATGTTCACTCAAGGATGAACAAAGCTAGATTGGCTCACGATGCCTGCACAGGCAGGCACGCAGGCACTGACAGGTGGACAGGTCTGGTATGCCAGCCAAAACACAGGGCACAGGCCGAAACTCAGGACAAAATTTAGCTGAAAAAAGCGCTCGAAACTCAAAGCGGCTGATACTCAGGGCTGCCGAAACCCAGGGTTCCACTGTATAATGAATTAGAGCATAAGGAACCAGATTTTAGAAGAGGAGTCTATCAATGTATAGGAAATTTCCTGAGAAATACACCTACCATCCGAATTATGACTGAGCTTGGTTCTGACCAGCTGGTCGTAAGTCAAAATGGACGTAAGTCAAACTTTACTACTGAATATCAACATCACATTTTTGTAATGATTTTATTTTATTGTTTTATTTTGGTATTTAATTTTTCACTTTACTTTTTATGCTGTTAGTACTGTATTTTATACTGTAAGGTTTAGGATAAACCCAGAAATTTGACATACAAAACATGGTTGTAAGTCGAGTAGTCCTATGTTGAGCAGGTCGTAAGTCGGATGGTAGGTGTACGTAGGTAAAGGGAATTGGAAGGTAAGACTACCCATGAGATGATGGAATGACTGGACATTAATTAAGGGCAACGATGTCTAAGATTTATTCCAGACATAAGAAAATTTACAGGATGCAGCCTTCTCTTGTCTGTCAATCAGGAATAAACATACCTCTGTAAACCTGAAAGAGACGATAACCAAACTGGATATAGTCATGAAGTACAATTAATGCTGTACAATATTCAGATTAGACAATGACTTTGTGACTTACAAGGATAAACACGTTAAGTGGTATAGAAAGCAACAGAGGATGCATGTAAGCCAGAAATGTTATACTACTTCTCTTACAATATTAAGTGAAGTAAATCAGATATAAGGTAAAGACTATGCTATACACAGTTTCAAGAGGAGGTGTGTTAAGTCCCTGGAAACCAGGAATTTGTAAAATTGAAATGTGGGGCAAGAAACAATAATATCCCTTGCAAAAGTTTTTAACACACAATGTGTAGCTCGCTTTCTGATTTGTGGGAAATGGTAGTAGGTGGCAATAGTGTTTATTGGGAAAAAAACAGAAATATAAAAATCATAGCTCAGTCCCATCCCTCACATATGATACTAGATTTTATTTTCATTGCAACCATTGAGGACACAAAATATTGTAAGCTAAAACTCAGCTGAGCCACAGAAAGTTATATAATAATTATTTAGCAACTTCAGTATTTCACTTTGGGAAATTGAAAAAAAAAAAACTGCAGTACAAAATGCAATTAAGCCTATCAATAAAGTGCAAAAGGAATACTGTACAAGGGACCTAAGGGATTTTATGGAAAATAATAAGAATCTTCAGTGATAATACTTTTTAAAGTACTTATACTCTCTGGACTGCAATAGTGGTGTGCATTATCTGTGGTTTGTAAAGACACGTGAGTATACACTAAGGCATGTTTATTAGAAAATGTTTCAGTCTTGGGACCTTCATCATTTCTAGCCTAATAAATATGCCCTAGTGTTTTCCTCGCATGTCTTTTTAAACCCACTTTGTCTGTATCAATTATCAAGGTTTATATCATGTATTAACTGTCCCATTTTAGACTTAAAAATTGATAATCTGGAGAACATACAGAGAATTTTCACTGCTAATATAAACTCGAACACTTATTTTATTGGAAATGCCTAAAATCTCTCAAATTACACTCCCTGCAATGTGGGTGGGAGATGCAATACAGTATATCGTAATGCACATGTTGAAAATAGTGGAGAGATTGATTTTAAAATCTTATCAACTGAAATTTTTCCATAAGACTGCAGAAGAGATGATAGACAGTGGAAAATAACCAAAAGGAAAAGCAGGGATGCAATAACTGCACTAGAAGATACCTTAATTTAATATTATAAGTATAAAGGGTTCAAGGCTTTTTAATACACTTCAAGTTTTAAGAGGAATTACTAGTAGACCTTTGTAGTGCCTGTCCCAGACTGCCATGAACACCACTGAGGTCATGAACCAGGATGCCTGCACCGAGACTGGGCCACCAGGAAGATGGAGACTGGGCCACCAGGAAGATGAACACTATGTAATACTATCTGTTGGTAGTGAAGTTTAGTGAAGGGTTAATGAGGAAAGAAGTATGAAATGTTGATTGTAAACAAGACTTGTAGCTGAGGCCATGTGAAGTGCCCTATTCATTGGTGAACTGTTTCCCATTCAAGGAAACATGATGTGGAGCCAAGGAGAAACTATGGATTTCTTTGAGTGGAGTAAGAGGTTGGTGTTCAAAAGAGGTAAGCATTGTCTTATAACATAAGCACCAGAACCATTAATAGATGTGAGTTTTAATATTGACTAGTATCAGTGGGTTGATAGAGTTGTGGAAGGCAGGAGCAAAGAATTTTTATGATGATTAAATGAACTGAATAAGTTGACAAGGGTGGAAGATAGTTGAAGAAAAATGTGGAGAAGAAATTTAGGAAATTTTAAAAGCAAAAAGGAAGAGAAAATATAATGGAGGAGGTACTGAAAGCGCTAAGAGATGAGGAAGGGAATGTTATCATAGAACAGAGAATTATAAGAAATATTAAGGGTTATGAAGGAGGGAATTAGTGAGACTCAGGGAGGGGTGTACACTTTAGGACCTGGAGACTTGGAAAAAATTTACTGTGAGAACATGTAGGGGAGGTGTTTGGTGTTATGGGGTAGGGATTAAAACGTTCATGGATGTGAAGGAAACTTCAAACTTTCAGTACAAAAAATCACTGTTGTATATGGCTAGGAGTTGAATTCTGATGTGTCTGTGATTGTATAGTGTATTGAGAATTGCACAAAACTTACTAGGAACCTTTAAATGAGAATACACAAATGGATATGAAAATTTATGAAGAGACTACGTAAAAAAGTGGGCGACACTTTAAAGTTAAGTTAGTGGTTGGTATAGTTTGGTTTGTGAAAATATTAGAGGGCATGATCTAATGCAGATATTGCAGAATGTAACACCCAGATAGTATGAGTAGTTAGGAAGGATGTTTAAGATAATGTAGTGTACATGTAGAATATGATTTTGTTTAGAGTATTGAGAATTGACATGTTAGTATAGGCAGTGTGTTAGTGTAGTTATGTCATTACAGACTTCTGTTTGATTTGTAATTAAGTTTTAATTTGAATTCAGAAATATAAATGATTCTTGCAACATTTCAGGGTTTTGGTTTCGTGACCTTTGCTTCTGCAGCTGATGCAGATCGTGCCAGGGAATCTCTAAACGGCACTGTCGTGGAAGGTCGCAAGATTGAGGTAACACTCTGTAAATGACACTTATGTCACCCACTCAATTACAATGGCTTGCCTCTTCATTGCCAACTTCTTGATTCATTCTTTGTGTTGTAAGCATTGTATCAAAATTGCATGTTATTTTTTGAGCATCTTAAAATAATTTGACTTTAAATACTTGCGTAATCAAGCTCTTTGCACAGTGAATGATTTTAATACTGAAACTTAATCTTTTATTCACAATGTGTGTTATATATGACCAGGTGAACAATGCCACTGCCCGTGTTCAAACCAAGAAGCCAGCAGCAGCAGTTCCTAATGGTAAGTGCCAGCTGCCTGTGTGCTCTTGCCCACTTGTGCTGCAATAGCTCTTTTTTTGTTTTCTTTCTTTCTTTCCTTCCTTCCCTCATGCCCCTTGCCCTTACGATGAGAACCCTCACTCACTACCAAAGACTGTCCTACTCAACATTAAAGCCTCTTATTCTATACAACAGAACGTACTTCAGTGTTGCCACACCTCGTAGATTTCGGTAAAGAATTTGCTAGTACTGTTGGTATTTTAGTTACCTAGAACAAGTGGGTTGTAAATTTTTCCATTTAAAATCTTCCAGGAGTAGAAAGCACCCAGAAATACCCTTACCATGCTGACAGCCATCATATAGAGCGCAGATGTCACTGCGAAAGACACAGACAATTGATCACTGAGTAACTTTGGACGTGTTTATCTGATCACTTTGATGTATGCAACTTCACTCACATCCTTGACACCAGTAAAAATTATACTAAGTAGCTATGAGAAGCCTCAATCATAAATTTTCTTCTTGAATGCATAATTGGTGATTTTTTTTTTTGTTTAACCAAGGTGGTTATAGAAATACTAGATGAACATAGATGCTCCTATATGCCTGTTTTTTGTGGCTTATTGGAATGAATTGCTTAAGATAGAAGTGGCATGCTGTTGTTACCAGATGGGGTTGTAGCAAACAAATAATGGTGAAATTTGTACAGCGTTTATCCTCTGCATAGGAAGCAACAGTTCACCTTGTCAGAGCATCATTTTAATATCTATATGCATATCATTGCTGGTGTTTATTTTCTAACTGTGCAAAGATGTGCACATGACCATCTTGTATGCACACATTGCTCAGGGGACTTATGAATGTGGTGTCTGCATGACAGTAATAAAGACAGTCAAATTATGGTATGCATACACATCTCTGATCCCATGCCCCCCGCTCCCATATCTGTAAATGATTAATCTAACCCATATCCTCTCCCTCTTCTACCTTGGTTCCTTTCTAGTTCCACATTCCTGTTTCCATTTCTCCATCTCACAAATCTGTGGACCTCATTGCACTTAGGGTTCCAGTAATGTTGCTTATAGTTAATAATTACAGCATGGTCTAACACTGCAGTATGATAATGGAATTGATATTGTTGTCTAACTAGGACCCAGTTTAGACAAATTTACATGTTTTTTAACTGCCTCCATGTAGATATAATTGCAATTTGCTTCAATTTGTTGCATCACTGTAAAAAAAAAAAAAAAAATTGCTGAAAGCAGGTAGACAAGACACCTAAAATAAAGACAGCTTATCACCTTATGAATGATGTGAAATACCTTTACAGTTAGTCTCTTTGTTTTAGCTTCCAGTTGTAAGACTCTGGAATGTGTTGCAGTGTCTCCTCGTTGCCCCCTCACATGGAGCACTCAAGGGCCTGTTCCTGTGTAGTCAACCAGCTTGTTATGGTCCACTCTTATTTCTTATTTCAGTTCACTCAATTATCAACAACAATACTGAACAGAGCCATGATGAGCTGCATTAGTCTTAATATGAGGGGTTAACTGTTAGGTAGTTATATTTGTTACACCTTAAAATATTTGCTTTTGATTAACATCACCTTTTGAAAATCTAGCTAACTTAATATTTTCCTTTTGCTGTGGACTGCAAGGCATTGTGGCTTTATTCAGTTGTGAATGACAGTGTTGTTGATCAGGCCATGTTTCATTAGTATATAACCTCAGGGTTGTAAACAGAGAGATTTTACTTGTACAGTGTTCCTAGATTCTATACCATTGGACATGCCATGTGTTTAATTTCTGTGACTGATTGATATTTGTCAATCACCATGTGTGATTTGGTATTTATTTAGTTTTCTTTTTTCTTTATACCTTTTAGTTATACTCGCTAGAAATGGAATGGTGCCAACTGCCGTGGGTGAGCGAAAATTAATGGATTTAGCTCATTCTCTTGGTGTTGGTCATGGGTGTTTGGTTTGGTGTTTTCTTCATACAGTATAATGCTAAATAGCTATGCTACACATCATTATTTAGTATTTGTGTCACTCAGGCACAGTACTATACTTTTTTAATGAAATGTAGAGGACTTTCAAATGTTTTGAAATGTATAGGGTTAAATTTGGGGAAGTATGATGTTTAGTATAGCTTGTTGCTTTGGCATACCTGCAAATTTCTTAATCCTTTCCACTTATCCACCTGTTTGTTCCAATTTATTAATTGTCAAGGCCTAATTAAATGAAGACAACAATAAATTGCCTAACTTTTAAAATAGCTGTAGGTTAAAAATAATTTTCATGTATGAATTTTCTGTAGTTTTTTGTTTAAAACATTTTTAACTTCCAGTACTTTTGACAAAAATTATATTGGATCCCTGCTAGATTAACTGCTAAAATTTTACTTACTCATTTTATTAAAGTTGGTTATATTTTGTGGAAGTAATATGCTGAACCTCACCTTTTCAGTAATTATGCTTGATTGGCCACTCTTACTAGTTCTCTCTTCATATGTTCTGGGCTTGTGCTTTTTGCTTTGTTTTTTGTATGCATCAACTAGTTGTAATAATAAAGATGTCTTATTTATACTTTAATATGCCACTCTAACTTAAATCATTGTTTAGAAGCACCTGTACGTTTAGACTTTTGAAGTTTATTTAGTACATTATAGTGATTTCAGTAAGTTTGACTTGGATAAACTTTAAAAAACAACAACTAGACATCCAGGTGCTTATTATGTTAAATATTGATCTCTGTTACAACTTATAATTAGTTATACAAGTATGGGTAGCATGAGGCCATTACTTAGACCTCAGTTGGCCCAGGCACTGTTTTCACTTAATGGATACTCATGACTTATCATGAATCTTGCACATTTAAGCAACCATGTTACTAGCTAGTTAAGTGTGTGTGCTTCTTGAGAGTGAGGAAGAAGAGTGGAGTGTTGCACAGTGCCTGGCCTGCACTGATCACTGCTTGATCTGTCCATGCGCCTTTCATTTTCATCCCGTCTGCCTTCTGTGTCTTTCTCTCTTACATCACCCTCTCACCTTCCTGTATTCCACTTTTTAGATACCCTTAGTCTAAATGGTGCCTGTATCTTTCATTGGGTTTACTCTAGTGGGTTTTTGTGCTTGTTGTCTTAGTGGAACTCACTGCATTGTAATATACCTTGAGCTGATGAGCAATAATAATAATAATAATTAGTAGAAGAGTGATGAATTGTCTTGCCATTGGATTGACTTAATTTGTTATCACTAGCCAGCAGCTGCACTTTCTTGACCACCTCACTTCACTTTCCCCAGCGGGTTAGTTTGATACCCTCCATCAAGGCGAGACGCCTCACACCTCGCTAGGCAATCGGCAAACGCAGGTTACTTCCACCAAGTTACTGGTCTCTCGAGTCTGAGCTGGTAAATATCAATATTTTAGATAGTTGAATGATTGGTTGGCTTTGGACGAGACTTTTTTGGCTCTTAGGTTTTAATTGCATCTAGCATGACCTGAGTGCTATGGATGGAGCGCGTTATTGTTGTGAACTTGAGCTCTCCTTGTTGCTCAGAACTTCCCCTGGACTCGGAATGCCTGCAGTGTTTCACCCAATAAGACAACAAGCAAACCCACAAGGCATTGGACTGATAAATCTCTTTGGCTTGGTTGAGTGTGATATATCCATTAATGAAAAGATTTATTGTAATGTCCATGTTGTTTTAGATGTTGTTATGAGTATTTTTTGATGTTATTGAGCCATAGATTGTCAATATTATAAGGAGAATTTTATTACTTTTTAATGATATTGATTTATTATTATTCTGTCAGTTTAAATGCAGTTTAATAATCAATAAAGATGTTGCTTTTTGTCACTTCAGAGCTTAACAGTAGCAGCCTTGAGTATGGTAATGAACAAGATTTCTTCTCTCTATCGCCTTTAACACAAGCATTACTGCTGTAATTTCCAAAATGAGAGAAGAATGTGCACATCATATAGGTAACAATCTGCCACTAACAGATTGTTGCGCAAGAAAATTTAGGCGGTTTAAGGTGTTGATAAAAAGAATATTAAAGTGCTTCTTGGTTACCTTTCTTCCTTATTTTAGTTGGTGTTGGTGGTGCCATGTTAAAGGCGAGCGGTAGAAGGTACTTGGCTATTGTGGTTGAATGCACTTTCCTTTGCATGGGGTTTAGCACTTGACTTTAATTAATCGTCATCATTCTCTCTGCCATAATATTACTATGCATCGGTGATGAGAGTTTTTACCCTTTTATTTAATGTTGATTACATTCTTACCCTACTACACTCCATGGAGGGGGGCCCAGGATCACCCCACTCCCTGTTCTTCCTGCAGACAGATTGCTAAAGCTCGTTATGGACATGAACTTTGTCGATTTAATGTATAGTAGTTATTAGTCTGAGCTCCAACTTCGTTACTTCTGTTAGATTGGCTTTGCTTGAAATGGTCTGTTTCACTTGATCTACTTTCTAATTAGCACATCACAAATGCCATTAAAGAAACTCTGTGGTACATCCAGTAATGAGATCCATTTCGCTAGTTTGTTTTACGGTTTACGTAGTTAAAGGTTTGCACTGTTTGAATATGGAATTTTTAATAAATAGTTAGCGGTTCCATTAGAAAGTCCTAACATTTGACTCTGGGATTGAACTTAAATTTTCATTGCTTTTATTTTTATTTATTTTATTTTATTTTATTATTTATTGTTATTATTATTATTATTATTACTAAAACATTTAATGATGGGCCTGTGGGTCACTACCAGCTCATGTGTTTCATGCTTGAATGGGTTATTTTGGTTAACTTTTTCTATAATTAACAGCACTTTTAATATACAGTATATTAAATACAGGTTTGTCATGTAAATTGCTTGCTCAGTTTCTATAGGGCATAGGTATCTTGGATATGAAAGAGCTGCATCGTAAAAGTAAGTAATTTCAATTCCCCCTTTTTTCACGGCTCCTTAACTGGGCTTTAAGAGGTGTCCTTCTGATGGTGGTAGACCTAGTTGACTGTGCCTGTTTAGAGAAGTGGTACTTGTGGTGCCTGGGCTAGCATGTGCCACAAGTGTAGCCGACTCTTGAGCCACAGTTCAATACTCCTACTACACAGCAGTGGATGGACTGGCAAATTAAAGAACGGCTCATTTACATTATTCTCATTTCGTATTGCTTCACCTTAATAAATCAATACAAGAAAAAAGTTTCACAAGACTGCATTAATAACCTAAATAAACAAGACGGGACTGATCAGTTAAAGATTCACGTGAATATTCTGTGTGTTTTATGGGACATGGAGCATGCTTAGTTGTAGTGCTATGGTGAAACAACCACTGATATAGTGGTTTACATATGGAGCACTTGTGCTCCTGTGCTTAGGGTAGATTATGACTAAGATGACGCTTTCATCTGTCTGGGTTGGACTGCTTCCCTCTGCGTGGGTTGGGCTCCACACTGCGGTCACCATCGCCGTGGCTGTTGCGCTGATGGTGTCCCCCTACTGACTCCACTCTATGGACTGTTTTGTGTTGCAACCCCCATGGATCTTAGCTACTACATATTGAAGAGTGCACTCAACCCCTGTAGCAGCCTGCACCGTATGTCGGATTGTGATTCAAGGCTTGGCTAGTGTTTGGCCCTGGAGGAAGTCTGGGCTGTGGCATCAGGCCTCTTCCTCTCCAGATGCCCGGGACCACCACAGTTGTCACTACCTCTCGCCATCATTTCTCTAACCCACCACATAATACATATACCACTCACAAAACCAAACCAGAGTGTGAAAGTTTTGTATAAAGATACTTAGAATAAAAATGCATCACTGGAATTATTGCAACAATGGCTTCTCAAGAAATTGTGTGCTCTCTGTCCCTCTGTGCATGTTACCCTAATGCCATTTTCTCTCTCCTCTTTTCTCTCTCCTCTATTCTCTCTTTTCTGTAGTCTCCTATATTCTCTCTTTATTACATTTTTTCAGTATTCTCTCTTCTTTATTCTCTCATTTTCATATTCTTTCTATATTCTCTCTATTCTCTCTTTTTCATATTTCTATATTCTCTCTCTTTATTCTCTCTCTCATATTCTCTCTATATTCTTTATTTTCTCTCTTTTTCTATATTTCTTTTTCTATATTCTCTCTTTTTGTGTATTCTTTTTTTTCTGTATTCTCTCTTCTGTATTCTTTTTTCTATGTTATCTTTTTCCTATATTATCTTTTTCCTATATTCTATCTTTTTCCTATATTCTATCTTTTTCCTATATTCTATCTTTTTCCTATATTCTTTTCTCTATTCTATCCTTTTCTCTATTCTATCCTTTTCTCTATTCTATCCTTTTCTCTATTCTATCCTTTTCTCTATTCTATCCTTTCCTCTATTCTATCCTTTTCTCTATTCTATCCTTTTCTCTATTCTATCCTTTTCTCTATTCTATCCTTTTCTCTATTCTATTTCTTTCTCTCTCTCTTTCTCTCTCTTTCTCTCTCTTTCTCTTTCTCTCTCTCTCTCTCTCTCCCCCTCTCTCTCTCTCTCTCTCTCTCATCTCTCTCTCTCTCTCTCTCCTCTCTCTTCTCTCTCTCTTTCTCTTTCTCTTTCCCCTTTCTCTTTCTCTTTCTCTCTCTTCTCTCTCTCTCTCTCTTCCTCTCTCTTCTCTCTTCTCTCTCCCCTCTACTCTCTCTCTTCTCTCTCTCTCTCTCTCTCCTCTCTCTCTCTCTCTCCTCTCTCTCTCTCTCTCTCTTCTCTCTTTCTCTCTTTCTCTCTCTTCTTTTCTTCTTTCTCTCTCTCTCTTTTCTCTCTCTCTCCCTCTCTCTCTCTCCCCCTCTCTCTCTCTCTTCTCTCTCTCTCTCTCTCTCTTCTTTCTTTCTCTCTCTCTCTTCTCTCTCTCTCTCTCTCTCTCTCTCTCTCTCTCTTTTCCTTCACCCATCCTGCCTTGTACCCTTCCTCATGCTGCTGCTGTCTTCCCACACATGCCCATACCACTCCCATACACCACACACACACAAAACCATACACCACACACACAACCCACTCCCATACACCACACACACAAAAACCATACACCACATACACAACAACCCACACACACACACACACACACACAACACACACACACACACACACACACACACACACACACACACACACACACACACACACACACTACATACACACAACCATACACCACACACAACCATACACCACACACACACATAACCATACACCACACACACACATAACCATACACCACACACACACATAACCATACACCACACACACAAAACCAAACACCACACACACAAAACCATACACCACACACAAACAAAACCATACACCACACACACACAAAACTCCACACACACACAAAACTCCACACCACACAACACAAAACCACACACACACACACAAAAACCACACACACACACACACAAAACAACCACACCACACACACACACAAACACCACACACACACACAAAAACCACACACACACACAAAACCACACACACACAACAAAACCACACACACACACAAAACCACACACACACACAAAACCACACACACACACAAACCACACACACACAAAACCACACACACACACACACAAAACCACACACACACACACACAACACAAACACACACCAAAACACACACACACAAAACCACACACACACACCAAAACCACACACACACACCAAACACACACACACACACACACACACACACACACACACACACACACACACACACACACACACACACACACACACACACACACACAAAATTCCCACACCACACAACCCCACACACCATGCACACAACCCCCACACCATGCACACAACCCCCACACCATGCACACAACCCCCACACCATGCACACAACCCCCACACCACCACAACAACCCCCACACCCACACACACAACCCTCACACCACACACACAACCCTCCACCACACACACAACCCCTGCACCACACACACAACCCCCACACCACACACACAACCCCACACCACACACACAACCCCACACCACACACACAACCCCACACACACACAGCCCCCACACCACACACACAACCCTGACACCACACACAAGAAAGTCCCCTCCCTCATACATACAGCCACACCACAACCAGACCACCATCACAGCACTCCACACCACACACATCCTACACAGCCACCCCACACACAACCACACACACCTCTCACATAACACACACACCTCTCACATAACCACACACACCTCTCACATAACCACACACACACCCCACACACAACCACACACACCCACGCACAACCCCACACACCCCATGCACAATCACACACACTCCACGCACAACCATACACACCCCACACATAACCCCACACACCCCACAAATAACCACACACAGCCATACACCACACACAACCACATGCCACACACAACCACACACACCCACAGGCAAGAACAAGCAGTAGAAAGATATAGGCATTGGAAGGAGGGACATTATCACAACATACATGATACTAAAAGCTTTTTTTAAACTAAGAGAATCAGATTGAGGGTTCCACAAGATACAGATTACCAGTAAGAACATTAGGAAGTGTAGTACCACTTCAACATGGGAGTGGCAGAGGACCACAGCACTAAATAAACACACAGTAGAAACAGTAATGATTCACCACTTGTAAATAAAATATGATAAATCTGTGTCAAGGCATCCAGGAGATGGGCCCAAGAGCTTGAAGCTTAAAGCCTGCAACATTAACTAGGTAATTACATTTACATTACTCCTCAAAAACACACTTTTATAAAACATTGAAGTGGGATATAGGAGAGGGTAGTGAGGTGGAAATTGTTAAATAGTTTATAATTCTGTAAATGCAGAAGACTGGGTATCACCAGTATATAGCTGCTACTGTAACTACAAACACTGAAGACTGGGTATCACCAGTATATAGCTGCTACTGTAACTACAAACACTGAAGACTGGGTATTACCAGTATATAGCTGCTACTGTAACTACAAACACTGAAGACTGGGTATCACCGGTACATAGCTGCTACTGTAACTACAAACACTGAAGACTGGGTATTACCAGTATAGCTCTGCTGCTGTAACTACAAACACTGAAGACTGGGTATTACCAGTATATATCTGCTATTGTAACTACAAGCACTGAAGACTGGGTATTACCAGTATATCTCTGTAGTATCAGTTACCCCAGTAGTGTCATAGCGACTCATATCAACCATTACTGATTCACTGTCCCCCCTTACGTGATCACTGACCGTTATCGAGTCATTCTGCTGACCAAGCATGTTGTTTGAATGTCACTCGCCACCAATTTGTCATGTGGGGGTTCGTATGCTGGAATTGGGTAAAATCACACTCTTCAGACGGCTGTTAACTTATTATTATGGGCACTAAGGAAGGAACTACCAAGCCTGACCTGCCGTTTCTGCTACTCTACCCTGAACTACGTAACTACTATCGTGCCCAGAGGACGAGCGACATTCAAACAACATGCTTGGACAGCAGAATGACTCAGTAACAGTCAGTGATCACGTAAGGGGGGGATGGTGAATCAGTAATGGTTGATATGAGTCACTATGACACTACTGGTAACTGATACTACTGAAATATAGCCCTGCTAATGTAGCACCAAACACTGAAGACAGACCACCACTAGCATAGCTATGGAGAGATAATTGCAAATGGAAGCTAATAGGATTTACTGCTTTGTAAGGCAGAGCTCACTAGAGCAGTTAGTAAGCTACACAAGTTCATGAAATTCAAAGGCAGGACCCCAAGAGCTAGTGCTTAGTTCTTGTAGGCACAACTAAAGAGAAGGGGAGTAGAGAGGGTTAAAGGAATGGTGGGAGAGGGAGGACCCTGACAGAGAGAGTGATTGGATGGCAAAGGGTTGATAAAGATGGAAGTGGAATGGCTGGAAGGGAGAGGTGAAGCTTGGTAGGATATGAGAGGAATGGGTATGGTGAGAGGGTGATTGGGTAGGGTATAAGAGGGGCTAGATATTGTGAAAGGGAGTGAGGATGTTACATTCATGGCATGGTGTGTGAGTGCTTGTGAATAACAAAATCCAAAATTATTATTAATATTAGAAAGTGAGAGGGGAGCAGATAAGGTGTGAGAGGGCAGATAAGAGGTAAGAGGGCAGATAAGTGATGAGAGGGCAGGGAAAAGTAGAGGGTGTTCTACTAAGGGTAGGAATTAGTGAGACACACATTATCCTCAGCTGAGTTAATTACCAGATTAAATAATATACTCCATTGAAGTGGCCACTTAAAGATTGACACCTCTGAAACCCACTTAAGTTACCAAGGGGTGTGAAGAAGCCTCCTTACAACTTAGTAAGCACTTAAATTCACTTTTGGGGATAGCATTAACTGCTTATAATTAAGCATTTTAGACCACAGTAAAAGAGAACACAGCATTGGTTGTTAATGCTAGTATTAAAGTGTATTTATTACACCAATTATATCGTCTTACTTAATACTGGCTAGTGGGATATTAATACTGAGCTGTAGCAGGAGAACCTGACTAATCTCTCAAGGAGTGGTTGGGAAAGACAGACAGCTCAGGACAGAGATATGATCTGAGATAATTTGATGCTTTGTAACTTCAGTGAGGCCTTCCCACATGGTCCAGCATCCTTTATACTTCTGCTGTAGCTCCTCATCTCGGGAGGATACTGTGGGGTGTGGCCTCAGGAAAGGGTAAGGGAGAAGGGTATTAGTATGGCAGTGGGGGCAGAGACCAATAAGTTGGAAAGCTTAAAAGATGGGACCAGGAGCCACGACTCTACTCCACCAGCACAAATTAGTGAGTATGTATGTGTACGTGAGTGCATTCCCACATGCGTGTTCACACATGAGTGCATGCACACATACATACACATGTGTGGACACATACATACATGTGTGCGTGTATACACATACAGCTTGAGGGCACAGAACCTGATGACCATAACAGAGAGAAGGACAAGGGTAGGAGACATGATTATAACATACAAAATTTTATTCAATATTGATAGGACAAATAGGGACGGAGTGAATTAAGAAGACCAGGATTAAGGGGACACATGTGGAAGCTGAAGATTCTTGTAAGCCATGGTGATATTAGGATTTATTTCTTTAGTCTCAAGGTGGTTAAAAGGTGAAATGACTTGGATGAGGAAGTAGTGAAGGCAAATTCAATACACAGCTTCAAGGCCCAAGATGACAGAAGTCAGGTGATATAACAGGGTCATTTTATATCAGCCTATCAAAAGTTAAGAGGTAGACCTAAATGCTAGAGCTCTCTATCTTATGCAACTTCTCATAGGTACTGTAATTGCAAATACAAGTTGACAATTGCATAAACACTAGTTGGAGGTCAACCCTCACAAACTCGGATATTCAGTTACATACACTTTAGAACATGACAAACAGCTCTGCTGGTGCAGTTAATCACAGACATTAGTACAGTATGTACAGTGCATTATTACCTCTGACAATACACATGGGCAGTGGAGGACATACTAGACAAACTACTGTATAGGCATAAATGTTAAGAATACCATAACTATGGCATGTACTTCATCCCTACTAAAGTCTTGCACATTAGACAACTGTATAGTAATTTTATATTTTGTTGAAAGGGTTAAATTAGTATTGATTTGATGGTATGATGTGGTGTATGGGAACTTGGAACTACAGCCTGCCAATTTAGCTTGTTATTGGTGAGCCTCGGGCCTCTGGAACTAGGAGAGGTCTTTGTCCCGTGCCTGCCGTCTGAAGTGAGTTGTGCCTGTAATGAATGTTGATCATTTTGCATGCCTCCAGCGGCGGCCCTCCGAGGTGTTGCGATCCAGCGTGGCAGGGCTCGGACGTATCCGGCCACTGCCCTTGCACGTCATCCCACCCCACTAACAGCTGCCGCCACAGCTCTGCATGGCTACACACCGTAAGTTTCAGTACCAGACGAGAACAGCAGCTGCATCTCACTCCTGAAGACACCACGCAGCAGCAGACACAGCAGCAGCAGCAACAACAGTATTGGCCTCTACATGGTGTAGCAGTCACTCTTTGGCCCTGCCTGCTGTGGATGCTTCAGTCCCTATCATTTTTCTTGTAGAGCAGATATCATTACTTCACTGTTCCCTTTGCTTTTCATTGCCTTAATGGTAATCACTAATATTGGATCATTCTTGTAGCACTGTAAACCTCATGCAATTGGTTGAATACGTAATCAGTAAAATTATAAAAGGTTGATCCTTAATATCAATATGACACTATAAATTTGAATTACAGTATATGCATTTTATGACCAGAAAATCAGCTTTTAAGCTCTTTTTGGATCTGAGGGACTGCACCAAGATGCATGTGACTGCGTGTTGTCTGAGGGCGTGTTTTGTAGTCCCAACCTGACTCTGTCTCTCATACTTTCCTCTTCAGTATAGTCACCCGAGTCAGCATGTGTCATTTTCTCACAGTGTGCCTGCCTCTTGACCTCTTAAGGGCAGGTAGGTTGAAATATTAGAGAACCTCTTGCCTAAAGTAGTTGAGGGAGCCTTGTGACCATGTGAGGAGATGCCAGAGTGCTCTTTGGTGTATAACTAGCTGGGGTTGATCTGGTCTCGCATTTTGAACTTGTGGCAAAGGTTACTGACTAGTGTCACAGCTATTTTTTTGTGAAAACCAAGGACAACCCAGCTGGCTATGTAGCAGTGTGAGTAGGGTGTGCCATTAGGAAGCCAGAATAAGCCAGTGGTAACTACGTTCATTGTATTAATCACACGTTGCAGTTAACTTGGCATGTGTTGTACAATAAATTGTATATAAGAGATGGATTATGGGAACTGGAATTTTTTTAAAGTACTGTAATATAATGTGCCTAATTGCAAGAAAATAAAAATGTGTAAATAAGCTGTGATTTAGAAATGAAATCTTTATCAGATAATAAATTTAGCATATTTTTACAGTACAGGACTAAAGTTATTATATACTAAAATATTTTTTAATCAATAAATGTAACTCAGCCTTACCATAAAGCTTCCTCTGCAGATTGCATACAAATAGTCATAAAATTGTAGTTTTTACTTTGTGCATATAGAATTTTGTTGTTCACGGCAAAACTTTTAGTTTGGAGTATGTTATTTAAGATAGGGTTAAATTATTTTTAAAAATCAATTTTATTTTACAATTTAAGTTAGGCATGATGATAAGGAAGCAGCACCCCTGGCTTATCCTATGTCATTCAACTTGGGCACCTCACACTTTCGGACATAACTCTTCGTTTAGATCATTACATAAATGCTGCTGACACCTTGGGAATGTATTTAACCTCTCACCTGTTGTTGGGAGTGACATTGACTGCTAGGTTTATTTTGGACCTCATGCTGTGTATTATTACTTAAGGCTCTAGTAAAGGGGGCATTGCGCTGGAGCCACTACTTGTACTGGAGTAGAATTTGTGAAGTCCCTCAACTGACTGTTGCTACATCATTTCCTCATTTTTTTAAGTAGTTTTTTTCATGTTGTACATGGTGTTATGATTTAGTTGATGGACTGCCATAAAATTATCCAACCAATTTGGGTTTAGCAAAATGTACTCCTTAACTACGGAGAGCCACTGTTAGTATGTTGCGTACATACCATCATAGTTGTAGATGATTTTTTCTGTGTTGTTGACTTGAATGTGTGCTATGCTCTGGATTTATCCTGCACACGCATTTAGCACGGTTTATGCTTGGGGATTTTGGAGATAAGTTTGAATGTGTTTTAATTGTTTAACTTTCCTGTGCCCTCTCTGTGTATTCTGCATTAAGATTAATAGGGATTAATTCTCTCATTTAAAGCAACATAAGAGGATTAAGAGCTTCTTAGACAACTAATCGGTCACTGATTAACCCTGGGTGGTAGATAGTTAACTAAACTCATGACTGAGACATGGACTCAAATACTTACTATTGACTGCCCTACAGTACCACTTGACAAAATCTTCATAAATCTTTATATCTTGCAAAACTTTATAACAAAATTGTTATCAGTATTGCTGGACTAAGGATTTTTAATTAGCTGATCTAGTCTCAACACTCCAGTTTGGTTTAATTGAAATGCAAGGTTTCTCTCTTTAAATCACTCGAGGAAATTTGATAACTAGATCACGACAAGATCCAGATCACATTTCTCACAAAGTCCGGTAAGTGATAGTTGTTCCCAGGAACTCCACAAGTTTGTGTAGTTTTACAATCTATTGGACTGGATTGTCACACATCCAGTTTTTGCAAATAGTTCACTCAACCAAGACTTATTAAATGGCTGGTAGATGAGGAGACCCATGAAGATACCCTACAGAACTCCTGCAGCTGTATAGTGCCTGAAGAGCTGCCAAGTCAGTTGTGATGGGAGACAGGATGGTCAGTATATTGATACAGTCATTTGTCTGGCTGTTATAACATTTCCTGCACTTGCAGTTTATATTTTTTTTCCACTTTTTAAATAATTTTTTTTACATGCATAGGCATCTCTTAGACCAGGCAGTAATGTATATGAAATAAAATGCATTTAAGACTTAATAAAAAAAGCCTTTTTGGTCAGGATTAATATTAAAGTTATTCTAATTATTTAAGCTATCATTTATAAAAAAAAAATAGTGGTAGACTTACAAATAATCATTAGAGGGCCTTTAGTCTTGTGCCAGGATATCAGTGTATGAGTTAATGGTGATGCTCAAATGCATGGTTTTTTTTGCAGCGGTGTATATTATGACCCCTTCCTAGCAGCGCAAGCAGCAACAGCCACTCCTCTTCAGGTGAACCCGGTAAGTATTGTGAAATAACTTAGTAGTGTTGTCAGCAGTCACATTACCATACTCGTTATCACCACTGCTCATCCTGAGGTCTTACTATCACACAAAATGGATTAAATATTATAAATTAGTAAGTAATGTAATTGTGTGCTAAAATAGACCAGGAGTGGTGTGCCATTGACATAACGTCATAGTGACCAGGGATACTAGTGTTTTC